CCCAGCACAGGAGTCCAGCCTAAAACAAAAATCAATAATTTTCCCTCTGATTATGTAAAGTGATCTGGAAATCATGTCCAGTTAGTGGCCCCCGATGGCTGTTGCAGACCCTGGTGTACTATACATTGTAGAATACATTGATAGTGGCCCCCAGTGGCTGCTTTGGGATCCCCCGATGTATTATGCATTGATATATGTATAGCCAACACTGATAGTGGCCCCTGATGGCTGCTTCAGGACCTCTAATGTACTATACAATGGTAGAAAAACATTGATAGTGGCCCCAGAAGGCGGCTTTGGGTCCCCTGATGTACTACACATCGATACATTTATAGCCAACATTCTTAGTGGCCCCCGATGGCTGCTTCAGGACCCCTGATGTGCTACACATTGATACAGTTGTAGAAAACTTTGATAGTGGCCCCAGAAGGCTGCATTGGGTCCCCTAATGCACTAGACAATGATACATTTGTAGCCAACATTGATAGTGGCCCCCGATGGCTGCTTTGGGACCCCCGATGTGCTACACATTGATACATTTGTAGCCAACATTGATAGTGGCCCCCGATGGCTGCTTTGGGACCCCTGATGTGCTACACATTGATACATTTGTAGCCAACATTCTTAGTGGCCCCCGATGGCTGCTTTGGGACCCCTGATGTGCTACACATTGATGCAGTTGTAGAAAACTTTGCGTTGGGTCCCCTAATGTACTATACATTGATACATTTGTAACCAACATTCCTAGTGGCCCCTGATGGCTGCTTCGGGGGCCCCTTGTGTGCTATACATTGATACAGTTGTAGAAAACTTTGATAGTGGCCCCAGAAGGCTGCATTGGGTCCCCAAATGCACTAGACAATGATACATTTGTAGCCAACATTGATGGTGGCCCCGATGGCTGCTTCAGGACCCCCGATGTGCTACACATTGATACATTTGTAGCCAACATTCTTAGTGGCCCCCGATGGCTGCTTTGGGACCCCTTGTGTGCTATACATTTATAGCCAACATTGATAGTGGCCCCCCAATAGCTGCTTCCGGCCCCCCGATGTGCTATACATTGATACATTTGTAGCCAACATTGATAGTGGCCCCCGATGGCTGCTGTGGGACCCCCGATGTGCTACACATTGATACAGTTGTAGAAAACTTTGCGTTGGGTCCCCTAATGTACTATACATTGATACATTTGTAACCAACATTCCTAGTGGCCCCCGATGGCTGCTTCAGGCCCCCCCATGTACCATACATTGATACAAAACATTCCTAGTGGCCCCCGATGGCTGCTTCAGGCCCCCCC